AAAAAAAAAAAAAGGGGGGGGGGGGGGGTTGCTGAGGGGAAGGCACAAAGTGATGGATTAACTTTTAATAAGCGACATTTATTGCAGATGTATGACACGGTTGCTTATTATTTGGCACAAAAAAAATTTTTTTTCGATTGTTTCTGCTTTTTATTTTTAAAATTAATTAGATACTTATCAATTTTGCTTACTGTTCCAATTGCTCATTATTTCCTTTCATGCTGCTGTAGTTTTGTACCGCTGATATTAAGCGGAAACATTTGGGTAAAAAATGCCATTATATTCAAGCTCCCCTCCTTCTTCTTTTCCCCGAAAAAGAAGGATAGGAAGAAGTGTTTTTGACTCGGCAGATCGTCAACAAAAATAGTCATATTTCTGCCATTAAAAAAAATAGGCATATTTATATTGCGAATTGGTGCAGACAGATTTGAGTTTTGATATCTTTTGGTGCGAATCTGGTCAGTCTCATATACTTTTTTTTTTTCTACCGACTGATTGGACTTTTATCGGCAAGTTAATTGGAAGAAAATTTTTTTCATTGATGTAACACTGAAGTACTCTATGTGTTGAAAATAAGATTCATGGGCAGAAGTTGAAATTTTTTTCGGAATCGTCACACAAATGCGATAGTGTTGTATCGTAGAAATGACGAACACATATATGAGCATGTTGGAAAGATATCGTTTTTGCTGTAGTTGAACCGTTATTCAAGAACATTTTCAAAGCAAACAAACACTTTTGAGCCTTTCGACGTAAGCAGATTTTGTTAAAAAGAAATCGTATTTCTTTGTTTGTTTTGTATGCTAGCGATCTCGTTATCTTGTTTGCTGTATAGTGCTAAATGGCTTTTGATTGTTTAAATACTTCTATCGTTTTTAGGGCCAAGACAGCTATGGTGGTTGCAGAAGACACGTATCCGTTACACAAGGCTGCTTTTTATAATGACGTCGATACAATTTCCACTTTGTTGGAGAACGGTAACTTTCCATTATTGTTATTATTGTTATCTTTTGGGTGTTTTTAAAATTGCTTGTTCTTTTTTCCCTGCAAAAAAACAATATTTGGAAATTGTCTCAATTTGATTGTTGAAAAGTTTGACTTCATTTCACAACCAATCAATAATTTTTAATTTGGCAACTTAAAGGGAATAAGTAGCTGGTAACTTTTTTTTCTTTTTTTATGAAATACTATATGATATAGTTGATAAAAAGTTTCTTTTCTTATTTTTTTTCTTTTTTTGATTTAAACTTATAATTTTGCTAGTGTTGCTGTTTATATTGTTCTTTTCATGAAAATCATATCCGAAAGATGCGCAAGCCATTGTCAGCTACTTTGATTTGTTAGTCTTGTTCAATAATACATAGTTCTTTTGTTTAGTGTGTGATCCTCAGATTCACGTCACTGATAAGTTTCAGGCGTCGACATTCAAAGGCAGGATATGCATGGAAATACAGCGCTGCATATTTCAACGATGTTAGGCCATCAAGGTTCTCTTGTTTGCTGTAAAGGATTGATATTTTTCCTCTCGCTAGCTAGTTTTAGCTTCGTTTTGTAAACATGATTATTTCAAATATTTGTTTGTTTTCTTAAAACCTGGAAAAAGCAACATTTTTAGAAGCCACATTGATGTTGCTGGCTCACAATGCTCCAGTAAGCAAAAAAAATGGTGACGGTTGGAACTGCTTGATAGAAGCAGTCAGCTATGGCAACAGAGAAATAAGTATTTTTTAAATTTTTGTAACCGCTTGCTCAAATAGCATTTTTAATTTTTTTTTCTTTTGTTTTAATTAATTCAGCTTCAAGTTTACCACAAAATATGCTCTTTCTTTGCTATTTTGAAATTAACAATTGATTTAGTTACATCGATGTTACGGAAGTTGAAAGCGCAGTCAAAACAAGATATGTTAAAGCGGAAACCGCATTTGTTGAAAGTGCTATCAGAATTTGGAGACTTCTATCTTGAACTGAAGTGGGATTTCCATAGTTGGAGTGAGTTTTTTTTATTTTTTGTTTACTGCGATTTCTGAATTTGAAAGTCGTCGGGGATACCAAGTGCATGATTTTTAGCAGTTTGATATTTGTTTTGGATACAACGATGTTAAATGCAGTTGAAGATTGAGTTATCTCTTAAAAGGTTTCTTGAAAGCTACGCTATGAAAAGGACGGCTAGGGTGCAATTTTTATATCTAACTTATAATTTATATAGTCTATACAATTTTATCGTTTAGTTCCACTGCTGTCGAAAGTGTTGCCTTCGGATTTGTGCAAAATTTATAAGCGAGGAACGTCTCTTCGTTTGGATACAACTCTTGTGGACTTAAATGACCGGTCTTTTGAGCGCGGAGATATATCGTTTATCTATAATTCTGGAACAGAAAAAAAGCCGTCGCGGTTTTTCATTTTAGACAATTACGCCAAGGTTTTTTTTGTGTTTCATTTGTGAAGCATTTTTTATGAAGAGTTTTAAGTATATTTTGTTATATATTTTGGAACACATCTTAGAAGAAGGTGATGATGAAAAGTGTTTTCTTTGTCGCTAGCTTCATAAATTTAATGTTTTTTGGAATTGGAGAAGTTGATTTTAAGTTATGGGGAAGGGTTGTACAGTAAGTTTTATGAATCACAAGGGAATTATGTGCGGTACATTTTTATCTGGGGAGTTTCGTATACTTGCTTCTGACTTCTACTGTTTATAGACCTTGGATCTTAATTCGTCTTTAACTTGTTTTTATTTGTTACTGAGACACTGCCTTTTCAGTTCTTTCCTCATTTTTTCATTTTAAATAAAAGTTTTGAAACGTTTTTTACTATTTTCTTCTCCTTACTAGTCTTTTAAAGTATCTAGGACAATAATTTGTCAACGGGGGACCTTGCAAACGTGCTAATTTTGGCCTATTTAGAAAGCAGATTAAACTAGTCTTTTGTTTGAAAAACTTTTTGTTTTTCAACTCCTAAACTCTCTCCTTTTTTTCAAAAAAGCAATAATTATGTGTTTTTTCTTTGTCGGATAATTTCCAGCATGTTACACTGCAGCATTTAAAATCTCGCCGTGAAGTTTGCGCCTTGTACCTACTACTTCCTTATTTTTCCAATACTTTTATAACCGTTTTGGGAAAACCGGTTTTGAAGTATTAAGTCTGTCACGGGAAATGGTTTTTATTTGGAGTACTATTGCTTTTTGATGTTTTAAGATGTGTGTTTTACTCTTTATAGTTTGGTTTATGTTTTCTAATTTTGAAACTTGTCCTCACGCTGTTATTGCTATTTCTATAAATCAGATTTGTTCCTTTTGTTTATCTGCTTTTTTTATCTACTGTCTGTTCTTCCGCATTTCAGCCCTTGATTACAGGTCTTCCAAAGAGTGAAGAATGAAGATATTGAGTCAGAGATTGAGGACGAAGTTGACTTACTTATGTCGTCAGACATGGTGAACGTTCATATGTCTACAAAACCCATAACATTTGAACGCACCTTTGCGGGTTGGCTGTTTCGTCATGAAAAATGTGTATGTTAAGTTTACTTTACGAAGTAGAATTTGTTTTTTTAGTGAAATGCTTTAGAATGCTCAAGGTTTTTATATTTGACTGGCAGGCCACTTGTGGGAAAGTTCTTTTTACATCTTGTTATCACGTTTTTAGGAGAAGGTTGGTGAGTACAATGCCAGTTTTTATGCCGTGCGAGGAATGTCTCTTGTTACTAAAAAACGGTGTGTAATTTCGTTGACTGCATTATAAGCTTTATTGGCTCTTTTTGAATTAATATTAAGAATGAGTATTTTATTAAATAAACTTGTGCTTTAATATTTCTTTTTGCTAGGAGGGAACACTTAAGCGCTGAAGATGTTAAGAAAAACAAAGCTCTGATAAAAAGTTTAGCCGCTGGCTCAGCTATGTTGGAAGAAGAACTTAAAGTAAGAGCAATTTTAATTTCATAATTTTTTTAGGACTTTTTGTTTGTTTGTGAAGGCGTTTTTTTTGAGTTTTCCAAGGACGTAATTTTATAAAAAAATGAATTCTTTCTAGTAGAACTAAGCAATTATTAAAGTAAAGACTAATTGTTTTGAAATTCCAATAATCGTACAGTACTTCCAAGAAATCATCTAAACAAGCGTTTACCTCTTCTTCCGCAAGAATACTTCTTGTGGTTGTGAAGTATAATCTAGACGAACATAACCTCAATATCTTGATTTTGTAATTTAGTGTTCGTCGTGTAGAGAAAGCTTAGAACCTCCTGAACGTACAGCTGTTACTTGGGACGAATATATTAATGCTCTGCCAAAAGAACCTCCTCGTTTGGGACGCCCAATGGTTTTAAAGCAATCGTCTAAAAATTTCAATGCCTTTGTGGCTATGGTACTTTTTAACCGTACATAACATTATTTGAGATAAAGGCTACCAAAGTTTGACAGTTTTTTGTAGAAGCTGTGAGGGTTCTCTGAGTAATTGTTTTTAATTTAGAGTGACGAATTTCCTCTCAGGGTTGATGTACTGCTTGATATTTTGGAAGTAGTCGCACCATTTAAGCATCTGAGCAAGCTGCGTGACTTTTGTCAACTTAGGATGCCACCTGGATTCCCTGTTAAAATTGGTATTCATTGAATTTTCTCTTTTTACATCTTTTTTATTTTCACTGCAAGATTTGTAAATTTTATACATTTAAGACGTCTATGAAGTTTGTCTTGGCTATTTGTTCCGATCGTACTGCAGCTATTTACAACTGAGGTTCCATGTTTCATAGTACTAGGTGAACTCAGGAAATCTTAAGATGTTAATAAGTTTATCCTTTTTTGTTTTTGAAACTGGTTTTGCCTCATTTTTTAGGTCAACTTATTGACTTTTTTGGAGAAAAACGGAAGTTTTTATGTAATAATGGCGTAGAAAACTTATTTTTATAAGGTGAGCATTGCTCTAACCAAAATTAACAGATGACGTTCAAAAAAGCGTCTTAAAAATAAGATTCAAAATTTTTTCACTTAATTTTTTTAATGCAAAAAAGAGTCATGAGCAGGTGGTTAATGTCAGGTTTGAAATCTGATATTTTAGAAGGGACAGGATTTTATTTCTGTCGACAATAGAAGAGAAACGCCGAGTGGTTCCCCTAAATAGACTTTGCTTTTGCTAAAAAAGGGCAAGGTGCCTGAGGCATAAATAGGAATTTCTTCTCATTGGCCGTTGCTTAAATTAGCTTCTTATATGAAGGTTTCTCGTGATAGTGTGGTACAGTTAGTACACGACAGGTTCTGTGCCTATTCAAAACCTTATATTTTTTGGCTTTGAATGGATACACGTATTAGAATTGATTCTTAGTTTTTCATATGGATTAAAGAAAAAGTGCATATTGAGATAAGAGCGTTCAAAAAATTTGATTTTTTTGAAACAGAAGTTTTCCGCGATTGCCGGCGTAGGTTAAAAGCCTGGGAAGACTGCGTAGATAACCAGAAGTTCATCCAGGTATACAGTACCTAGTACTACTGCTGAGTCGTTTCACATTAAATTATGTAATTTCAGTCGATGCCTCGGAATTTTCAAATTATGCTAATAAATAAAGTTTGGATCTAGAAGACTGAGAGGAAAGACCTGAAAAAGTGGGTCTCTGCTATTGGTTGTACTTCATCAAAGCTAAAGAGATTTCTATTTTTGGATTTAAACGGTTTTATATGTCTTCTAGTTTCACCTTCCTTATCTTTCCTGTCAATATTGAAGTAGAAAATTTAAAATGCACGAAGGCAGTTTTTATAAGTGTTGCTGGAAAAAAATTTCAATTTTTAAAGTACGTGTTGCAGACAGTGTTAAAGCTCCTGAAATAAATGAATTCTAGAATGGATTATCGGTAGGATTGGGGGGTTACATCTGTTGAGGTAAGTCGAAATGGACAAATTTAGAGTATTTTAGTAAAACTTTGTGTTGTGCTAAGTTTCTGCTGCGTTTATTTTTAGAAGATTTATTCTGAAAAGTAAGGAAATGCTTTTTTATAACACTGTCGTGTACTTTAGGTATCCTTCTTTGACTTGTGTTAATAGAGTGTTATTTTGAAGTTGGATATAATTAGCCGTTTAAGGATGAAATTGTTTAGTTTTATACACGGGTGTCAAAATTGCAGGGCCTCAAAGAGGCTTAGTTTGAAAAAAAATTGTGAAATTCTTAGACGTTTACTAAATGTAACCGGGTGGAGAACCGAATCTTCCGAATTCTTTTGGTTTCGTAAATCTGAGACTTGGCTAGTAAACAAATTTGAAAAAAATTCCAAATATCGAGTGAAGTGTGGTCTGACATGAAGTATTGACGCTGGCAATATTTTGTTATTTTATGGGGTAGTTTCCGGTTTAGATGTTCTTTGTAAAGTACACGGCGTGGTATTCTGGACTTAGGCAACGTTTTGGACTCATTATTATATGAAACGAGTGAACAGGAATCAGATTGCCGGTAAAGATGTGTATCCAAACTTTGTTGTATTTGCTAAGTTTTTATGCAAATAAAATCAAATTCTTTAAGTTATTATTAGAATACGTTGAAGTGGAGTTCACTTGAGGTTTAGAAACCTGTTTTTTATGTTTTTGTTGTATTTGTTTTCAGTTGGTTCGGAGTGTATTAGGAGATGAAGAGCAGTCAAAAAAATGCACAAAGTCGTTTAATCGTTGCAGAATAAGAAAACACATCGCATGCATTATACGATTTTAACGTCCGCTGATACTGTGAAACTTATCTGGTCTGAAAAGTATTAAAAAATTAAGATAATTTTTTGATTTTTGAACAGGGTTGGATTTTTTTCAAAGGTATTTATAGACGTATGATTTTCAACAATCTTTTGCTGTGCGGAAGTTACATTAATCAAAGGATATAGGTGAGATAGCATATTTTGTTTGAAAAACTCC